CCAACACAAGTGGAAGGTAGACCCGACAAAACAATTCTACACGGGTCCTCTTGCATTTTTGATTGTAAGTCACTTGTATAATATTGATTTATTTTTACATTATTGTAGTTAAAGTAGTTTTACTTGATGATTACTAATTAGTGTGCTTTATTTCTTATCTCCGTCTTTCTAGCTGTTCTATGCCGATCGGGTTCTGTTCAAAGGGAGGAGGTTGGTTGAGAGAACAACCCCTATATTTTTAGGCTGGACTAACTTGGCCTTAAAGGAAAGATAGTCAGAGGAAATAAGTACAAATTCATTTGGCAAATGTGTATTTACAGAGAGGGTTGAACTTGCACCTTCATCTCGAATGCAGAGTGGTACTGGAAACTCGCCTAAAAGTGTTGAGACAATTCGAAAGGTTAGCAAATTAAGTTGCAAGACTTTGTTTAATCAATTTAATCTCGATTAAGTAGGAGTGAATCGAGATTCACTTAAACACTTTGTCGATTCAGTTCAATGAATCGTTTAAATAATACTGAATCTCATTTCAGATCAGTGCTTATCGATTAAGTTAAACTGAATTCCAATTCACTTAAATGAATCTGGATTCAATGATACTCAATATCGATTTACTGAAGTGAATCTGGATTCACTACTACTGAATCTCGATTCACTAAAGTGAAACTGGATTTACTTTAGTCGACTCTGGATTCAGTCATTTGAATCTCAATTCAAATACATTGAATGTAATCTCAAACTATCGAATCTTGTCTCTCGCCATGTTAATAATTTATGGTGACCAATGTCTGTGATATTCAAACTGCAGGATTATATTGAGAGGGTACAACGGAGAGCTGCAGAGTTGGAATCTGCAAAAGATAGATATGATGCTGAGTGTGAGACAATGAGAAAGCTGTTCCCTAATGACAACGAGCTCTTTCAAATTCAACATAGAATTTCAAATGTTCTTGTGCAGGGGTGTGGACATCGTGGAAGTACTTCTGATAATGAAACAGCTGTGGGAAACATTGTTGATGATACCCCTAATGTGAACACCAAGGTGAGTAGAGATATGCATGGTTCCCCTGCTGTTGATCCAATATCAGCTGAGTTACCACAAACACAAGTCTCCCCAAAGTTTATTCAAGAGATTGATAAGATTATAGAGTTTGTTAGCATGGGTAAGGTTGACAGACCAGTGAGGCGCAAGCTCAGCGAATCTGGTACCCCACAGACTGAAGAACCTAGTTTTTCTCTTGGGCTGACACATGATACTCAGACTGAGACAGTGGAAATGGTTGATGTTGTTCAGATTGCTAAAGCTTGTGAATCTGAAATCATTGATGACTCTGTATGAAGAAGTGATAAACAAGCTGAAGATGCTGCTGCAGTAGTTAAAAAAAAGGTAAGAAAGTTCATGTGACAAAAAATAAGGAACATGCGGGAAGGGGGGAAGAAAAGAGGATGGTGAAGCCTGCAACGTCTCTTCGGTCACCATGGGTGCAGAGGGTATCTCAGATTACTGCTAGGCAAAGTCAGCTGGAAAGCATCATATGAAATTAGGTGCATAGAGAAGAAGTAAGGCATTCAGGTGATGATTCTGCTGAAGAAGATAATTTGTGAGTTCTTAAATCTTATTTGATCTTTTATTTTTAGGTGTGAGACTCACTGTTTTTAGTATTTTGTACCTTTATTAAATTGAATATTGTTACTATTCTTTTAGTGAAATGGTTTTTAAGTGGAGACAAATTGAATGTTTCTTACCTGCTTTCAAGACTTTCCTTCCTTCTGAGGACATTGAGGCAAATTTAATCAGCATTTGGTCCTATATTTTGAATAGCAGAGAAAAAATGAAATCTAAAAATTCTCCACTTAGATTCTTCTGCAATGTTGAGACAACTGTACGTATCTTCCTTTATTTAATTTAAAATAACACTTGAGTTACATTTTATTTAACCAGTTTTATGTTGTACAGTTTTGCAACATTCATCCTTCAGATGAGTCCAATGATGAATTGAGATACAGTAGGTTTGCTTCCCGGATGGATGAGCAACTTGCTCTGTATCCACATATGAAGTTTAATGAGATTGATATGGTAAAGATTCGAAGACAATGTTTTTGTTCTTTAACCCAATTTTAACTATATTTGTAAAATCTCTGATTAAATTTCACAACCATTAGGTCTTCTTTCCCATAAATGCGTTTGAGCATTTCTACATTGTGTGTTATGGGCTAAAGAATCCAAGTATGGAGCTGATTGACAATAGCAAAAACTGCCCAGACTACAAGGAAAAATACCAAGGTCGTCCTGAGGGTTTGGTATGTTTTTCCACCTTACGTATGTGCTTTAAGTATTTACTGACAGAATACAGTAATAAGTGAATCTGGATTCACTAGAGTCAGAGAATTCCATATTCGCTAACTCTAGTGAATCTCGATCACTAGAGTTAGTGAATCTGGATTCACATCTTACTGTGAATCTCGATTCACTTGAGCTAGTGAATCTGTGTTAACATCAGGGAATCACGATTCACTAACTATAGCTAATTCTAGTGAATCCAGATTCACTAGTGTAAATCCAGATTCATTAGAGTGAGTCCAGATGAACTAACTCTATTAAATCCTGGCGAACTAGATCCAATGATTCGTGATTCACTATCATGAATATTGTTTACATATAAACAATCAAAACAATTTGTATATTACATTAGACATTATTGTATGATAATTTGGATTTGTTATGTGACACTGATTACTTTTGATTAAACAGCACAAGAATTTTGTGAGATATTTGGCACACAAAAAACATCACAAGTCGAGTGAAATAAATACATTAACGCCTGATAGACTTGAGATGGAGTGGAGAACGGCCAAAAACGAAATTGATTGTGGTATTTTTGTTATGAGACATATAGAGACCTACATGGGCGGTGGTATAGCAAATTGGAACTCTGGTTTCCATAGAGAGGATGTAAGTGTTTAAACTAATAATGTATTGATAATTTACAGTTAGTCTTTTTGAATTAATAAAATTTAGAATATAGCTACTGAATCTTGAACTAAACTTTTGTTCATATCTACAGGAGCGATTAAAAAATCAGCTAAATAGACTGAGGTCTATATACTGTTACCAAATTCTTACTGATCCAACAAATAAATTGGCCAAAGAAGTCACCAGGAAAGCCCAACAGCACCATGCTGAAACTGCCAATGTCAAAAAAGAGACGAGGAAGACCACAAGATCTCAGAGAAAATGATATTCTGTCATCAGCATAATTTTCAATGTTGAAGTTTACAGTTATTGAGTATATTGCCAGTTAATGTTATAGATACTCCAGTTTGTTTTGAACTGCTTTTCTATGTAAATATACTTTATAAGAATAGCTTTGTCATAATTTTATTTCTAGATTTGTGAATAGTTTGGATATATGAAAATACTGTGAAGGTAGTGAATGCAACTGGAAAAATTTCGATTTAAGCAGGGAATGTGAGTTATAATTCAAGGTTTTGTGTAAGATTCAGTAAATTAATCATACTTATTGTGGATTGTATGTATTTAATCTGGAATCACTGGTTCAATATTATCTTAAGTTATTACTAATTTATTTGATTGAATCTAGATTCAATATAGTGAATCCAGATTCAATTCAGTGAATCCAGATTCACTACAATGAAAGATTCAGTAAGTTAATCATACTTATTGTGGATTGAATGTATTTAATCCGGATTCACTGGTTCAATATTATTTTAAGTTTTTAGTAATTTATTTGATTGAATCTAGATTCACTATAGTGAATCCATATTCAGTTCAGTGAATCCAGATTCACTACAATGAATCTATATTCACTAATCACTATAGTTAGTCCAGAATCACTTAAAGTGAATCAATCAAATAATTTGATTGTTTGATTGATTATAATGAATCCCTATAGTGAATCCAGATTCAATTCGGTGTATCTAGATTCACTCCAATGAATCAAGATTCAATATAGTTAGTCCAGAATCACTTAAAGCGAATCAATTTTAATCTGATGACTGCATACAACTACTTTATCATTCCTTTTGAAATAATACAACTAATAATAATGAAATTCACATGCTATATGAGTAGATCTCTATTCAACATACTAACATGACACAACGTAACCATGTAATTAATAATCTAGTAAATATATGTCGTTAAGAATTACACAATTCAGCAATTTTAATAAGAAATGTATTACTAAACATGATTTTGAAATGAAATATGACAACTAAATTAAACATCACTCTGCTGTAATGTTTTCTTTAATGGGCATGTTCGTGTGTCATGGAAATCGATTTTTTTGCACATATTACACAGCCTTGGCACCTTCTTCTTTCGTTGACTAATTGATTTCTCATAATCACCAATAATTCTCCGTCCACACCCCTTGTTTCTACCTTCAATGGGAGGTTTAACAATCACTTCAGCTGGTATTTTTGAGCCAACAAAAAACTCCATTACATCATTTTTGTTTTGTGTGTCAGATTTCCAACTAGATTCACGCAAACTGTGCTTCAACTCCTTCAACTTTCCTTCCAAGTAGTCAAGTCTCTCACCATCTAAACCTGCCAAACTCACACAGGATTGGAAATCATACCATATGTTATTCAACTTACGATTTGTAACTTCAATTGCATTGCACTGTTCTGATATTTCCTTGAACTGCAATAAATACCTCATCTCAGCACCTTTTGTCCATCTGTTCACAACAAGATGTCTTGGTATTTTTGTTACATCAGCTTGGTTCAGTGCAAAAAAACCATGTCTACATATATACCCATTTTCTCAAACATCCTACATGTACATTGCACGTTACTATTCAAAACAACGTGTTTCACCTAAAATTTAAAAAAAATGTATATTAGCACCGAATAAAAAAAGAAATGACAAGCGCATGAAATGGTCACTGAATCTCAATTCAATGGTGTGAATCGAGATTCACTTCATTGAATCGCAATTCACTCTATTGAATCGCGATTCAATTTTTATTTTTTCAATCTCCATTATTAAGTTTTACCTCAAATATTTTTCCATGTCTCTTTTTGTCCTTTATGGAAAAAATCTGCACACCATCTTGTTCCGATATACTGTTGATACTCATATCATAACAGGATGACATTATCTCTTTCTGTACCTCATAAAATATTATTCGAGTGTACAACTCTGCTGCATCCCTCTCCAATAACAATGGTGTGTCCATTCTTGGCATCGATTTTGTTCCTTCATAGTTTAATCTTGCGTTTGTATGCCTTTGCTTATCCATATCACTCTCATATCGGAGATAAAATTCTGTCAATGTGTCAGATCTACGGTTGAATTTGTCAAAGAAACTGTTCTCACTCTCTGATATTGATGTAGTACACAATAAACCAGTCATTGGATCATCAGCATAATAGGCTGGAATCCATGACTCCCGAATGTTATACAGTTCACACAACCATTCATTACTTTCAAGCTTAAATTCTTTCATAACATCTTTCCAACCTACTTCAAATGTTGCTGGATCTATATCTATACTCCAAATCAGTGCATTGATCTTCCTCTTGAAATCATCCATCTTCGAAATGCATTTTGCCAGCTACAATATAAATATATAATGAAAGATTCAGTATTTATCTAATGAGGATTCATGATATTTATATGTGGGATTCATTACCTTTTGGTTAAATTTCTTCATGATGTGCCACATGCACAAACGGTGACGTGCTTCTCTAAAGACGGTTGGTATAGCTTGCTTCATGGCAGGGCATTGATCTGTAACAATACACTTTGGCTCGCGAATCATGCATTTCATGAATACCTTAAAAATCCAGACATAGTTATCAATGTCCTATTTAGCTATCAATCCTGCTGCAAATACAACACACTCCTTATAATTGTCGAGACCAGTGAATGGAACAAACTTCATGTTGTACCTATTATATCACATACAAAAAATATAAGATTCACTATGATATATAATTCCAATATTAAAAATCGTAAGAGATTAACTATAAAATCCTATTCACTATGATATATAATTCCAATATTAAAAATCGTAAGAGATTAACTATAAAATCTTACTTGTTTGTGGAATATGTAGAGTCAAATGATATCACATCTCCAAATACATCGTAATTTCTTCGTCCAATAACATCTGCCCAAAAAATGCAAATCCATCACTCATCTCCTTCTTATCCGTGAACTTCTCGATGATCATTTGAGCATCTCGATCACCAATATAAAGCTTCACATCCCTACTCCAATTTTTAAACTCGGTACACGTAGCACCAACATTAGAATAACTTCCACACAACTCCTTAGCAAAGTTATATGTTTTGTTAGGCCCCATGTTGGCTTTTGCACCATCAAATACAAGTTTCTTATGTGCGAGACCGAGAACTCTATTTGACTTCAAAAATTGTTTCCCACTCCCGGACACAAAAAAATGAGAATGCTCTTCAACGAATAAGAGAACATTATATCCTTTCAAACCATCGAACTTAAAAACGACTTTAGCTTTGCAACCACATCTACTAGATACAGTTCTTCTTCTCTTTTTCGAATTGCTACTAAAATCCTCAAAATTAACATCCATCTTTGATTCATTGCTGCCAGCTCTACTGCAAACAATGTGTTTAAGAAGAACTGTACCGTCCTCATGTTTCTTCTCTGTATGCCGTCTGATCTCAAACTCACTTTTACGTCCATACTCTCGGTAAAACTGTATACCATCCTCTAGTGATCGGAAGCTTTGGGTTAGATAAGGTTTAAATTCAGCTTCAACCCGAGGTTTCCAATACATACCACCACCTGGTGATTGAAAAGGAATCGAGCTTACTTCGTCCATTCCATCTTCCCCAAAATCACTGTTTGATGAATTTATAACATGTGGTTCCTTTATTTGTTCATTGTTGCCTATAACTAAAAATAAAACAACATAAATCATATGGCTAAGTTTTGATATACTGAATCTGGATTCATTACAATGAATCTGGATTCACTGGAGTGAATCTGGATTCACTTCATTGAATCCAGATTCACTACACTAAACATGTGAATTCAGTTGAACACATTCTAGTTGTTAGAGACTGCAGTGAACACTTTGTATTCACATGTTTACTGTAGTGAATCTGGATTCAATGCATTGAATCTAGATTCACTACAGTAAACATATGAATACATTATGAAAATCACTGCAGTCTCTAACAACTAGAACGTGTTCAACTGAATTCAAGCTCTCCAATTAAATTTACATAAAATGTTTACGAATGTAAACTCCTAGATAATAAGTCATATGACTAAGTTTTGATATACTGAATCTGGATCCATTACAATGAATCTAGATTCACTGGAGTGAATCTAGATTCACTGCATTAAATTCATATTATTGCTAATTAATCTGGAGTGAATCTCGATTCACTGCATTGAATCCAGATTCACTACAGTAAACAAGTGAATAAATTATGAAAATCACTGCAGTCTCTAACAATGAATCTCGATTCAATGCAGTGAATCTAGATTAATAACTAGAACGTGTTCAACTGAATTCAAGCTCTCCATTTAAATCTCCATAAAATGTTTAAGAATGTAAGCTCCTAGATAATAAGTCATATGACTAAGTTTTGATATACTGAATCTGGATCCATTACAATGGAGAGCTTGGATTCAATGCAGTGAATCGAGTTTCACTCCGGTGAATCCAGATTCTAACAACTAGAACCTGCTCACCTGAATTCAAGCTCTCCATTTAAATCTCCATAAAATGTTTAAGAATGACCAGCTGATGGACGATGAAGGAGAGAGCTGAAGAACAATGAAGGACAACTGCTGGTTGTGGAGTGACTAGAAGACGATTTCTCGATTGAGAGAGAGCTGAAGGACGATGAACGAGAGCTGCTGGTTGTGGAGTGAGAGAGCTGCTGTTCCTGACTGTTGGGTTGCCTGAGCCGTGAGATTGCATGGGGAAATGGAAAACTACACTTGCATGGAGAACTCAACAGACAAGCATTAATTACCTCTCTTTGGGGGCTGTTAATTTTACCTGATTACCCTTATGCAGCTTTAATCTCAGCCATTGGATGAATCAGGATCCAATGGAGAGGATTGATTTTTAGTTTTTAGGATAGTGAGGTTTTTATTTGAACCTCTCCCTATATATATACATATATATATAATTCTCTCTTGAAGAACGATGAAGGACAGCTGCTGGTTGTGGAGTGACTAGAAGACGATTTCTCGATTGAGAGAGAGCTGAAGGACGATGAACGAGAGCTGCTGGTTGTGGAGTGAGAGATCTGCTGTTCGTGACTGTTGGGTTGCCTGAGCCGTGAGATTGCATGGGGAAATGGAAAACTACACTTGCATGGAGAACTCAACAACCAAGCATTAATTACCTCTCTTTGGGGGCTGTTAATTTTACCTGATTACCCTTATGCAGCTTTAATCTCAGCCATTGGATGAATCTAGATCCAATGGAGAGGATTGATTTTTAGTTTTTAGGATAGTGAGGTTTTTATTTGAACCTCTCCCATGTTCTAGAAATCTAAGTTTTGGAGAAATAAGTTGCACTATTATCTTACTCATGAGAAATAAGTTGTGAGACTCATTTCCATGTTTTCAAGCTCATTTCATGACTTTTTGGGAGGAAATGAGTTTCCTTAAATTTAGAACTCATTGCACTATTATTTTACTAGTGGGTGAGTCTCACATGCACAACATCTTTTTTTTTCTTTTCTCAACCGAACACCAAAAAAAGAAAAAGAAACACCTTCACATGGCTTCGTCGGGTGTGCTTTGAATTCCTTTTCTTAGTTTCTCAGCCAACCTAACAGACAAAGACCTTTCAAATTCTTCCAATTTTCTATGTCAACTTTCAAATTTAGATCTCTTTCCTATTACCTCCAATTCATTAGGTCCCTTAACCTCAAACTCCTACCACCACCTTAGACGATGTCATTTTCTTCTCTCCGTGGTCGATCCGCTTCAAAGACCTCACCTCCCTCCATTTCCGGTGACTCCAAGTTTCGATTATGATATTTCCGAGGTATATTCATGCTCTCATCATCAAATCTTATGGGACTATCTCTCATGCTTGGTACAAATCAAAGAGGGCTTCAACTGTTCAGATTTTGCTTCCCCTCTTCACCAGTATTGCATGCGCCAAAGGTACTAGATTTTCATATGATTTCTCCTCCTCAAACAAAAAATTCCTTTTCCTTGATGCATTACATTGCATTGCCCTTCTTTTGAGAGACCATTTTTCTGTCTAGATTTGGTGTGATCAAGAGGATTTTAATTTTGTTAGATATGGACTATGAATATTGGTTTCCCTATGGATTAATTTGGTATGGTTCCTGAATTACTGCTAAAAATTTTAAAATCTATGATTAATTTCTTTACCTACAAATAACTTCTTCTCATTATGAGGATTTTTATTGTAGTAATTTTTCTCGATATTAGAAAGATCTATAAAATTTAGTTCGCAGATTCGCTGTAGCTGATTTTTCTAATTACGTTTCAACTATATAAAAATGGTCTTATTTATATTTACTTCTTTACCTACAAATAACTTCTTCTCATTATGAGGATTTTTATTGTAGTAATTTTTCTCGATATTAGAAAGATCTATAAAATTTAGTTCGCAGATTCGCTGTAGCTGATTTTTCTAATTACGTTTCAACTATATAAAAATGGTCTTATTTATATTTA